CAGCTATCAGAGTGGAATGTAGGCATCGATCATGTTATCATTGCAGAGCACATATTGGGTCCGTGAGTAGCCTAACCTCTCAGCTCGGATCGCAGGTGGATTTCCCTCACTATATGAGTGAGAAAGAGTGGTGCCGGCACGTCCAGTTTTATGTCAACAGAACTGGATGCTCTCTCTCTCTTTAGATAGTGCAAGTGCAGTGTGGGCAGTGCGCACCGACCGGCAGAAGTTGATAAGCAGTTAAATGTGTTGATTTACACACGAAGAAATGTGTAAGCTTTTAATAAGTCCAAGAATAAAATGATTAATTTACTTAACATGTTCAATTTGATTTACAGAACTTTTTGTGCTGTTTTCTATCAGTTTGGACTTGAATAAAGAGATAAAACTTGCACTTAACCTTTTCACAGGCATTTTGTTTTCATAGTTAGACAGATATCGTGATGTATCGCCATAGGATTGTCTAGCAATATATCGATTATCGCAGAATCGCTGTATTCGTGATATTATCGTATCGTGAGCCATGTATCGTGATTCGTATCGTATCTTGAGGTACCCTGCGATTCCCACCCCTATTAGCTAGCTCCACACTGGAGAGCTGCTTTATAGCAGAAAATCAAGTTGTAATTCAAACTGAAAGCGACACTGACTTTTCATGTTTAATACTGTAAAGCTGCTTGATTTAAGGCTATCTATTGCATAAAGTACTATATAAATAAACGTGACGTGACTGGACTTTACTGGAGTACCAAACTGCAGAGCTTGTGCAAACATCCACATCATTGTAATCAGACGTGTTCTTAACTGCTGCTTTCTCACCGCTGTCAGTTTTTGTTGTTTATTTTGTTATTGAGAGGAAACGCGCGCCTCATATATTTATATATTCATCCAAACGCCGCTCAGCAGCTTCAGTTTCAGTTGCGTTTGGTCTGACCTGAAGCGCTGTGTCTTCATCTCTTGAATTGCATCAGTAGAGCTGAATTACAGTCTTGTGCTACAGCGCCACACTGGTCAAACTGCATTATTGCAGGCTCTTACATTA